ATGTATAGAGTCTGATTATTTCCCAAAAGACTAGCTCTCTGAGTAGCGAAGCAAGGCTGCTCTTATATAAACATATTTGTGAAACAAAATAAATTGGTTGTGTTTTAAAATCTTTAAATGTACCCCCAAAGCTGTTGTTATTTAAAAAGTGGCATGAGAGAGAAAGAAGTCATGCAACAGAGCTCACGTCGAGGGGGTTTTATTGGTAGAAGGGAATGGAAAAGGCAGGAGGGGAAGGGGAGACCGACAGGAGCAGCAGAAGAAGGGGGGAAGGAGGGGAGAGGTACAGAGATGGACAAGACCCATCTTTTAAAGGGGAACATAGTGAAAGTGCACTGTAGGTGCCCTTAGTGGGTGCAGCTGAGGACCCCAAGGGCAGGCCAGTGCAGATGCCTGACTACTAACAAAACTGTAAGACATAATTAAGTAACGTCACGTAAAAACACACGGGAAAATGCCACTCATACCATGACACTAGGACTATAAACTGGTGGGACTGTCTGGAGAACCTTTTAACCTGTTATCCGGCTGGGCGGTGGTGGCGCACGCCCTTAATCCCAGCACTGGGGAGGCAGAGGCAGGTGGATCTCAGTGAGTTGGAGGCCAGCCTGGCCTAAAGAATGAGTTCCGGGACAGCTGGGCTGTGACACAGAGAAACCCTGTCTTGAAAAAACAAAAACAACAACAAAAGCCTGTTATCAGCTGGACACTCTCTCTTCATCCAGAAATTCCACCTCCAAGTCTCCACTCGCAAAACAGCCTGTCACATGAGGAACTTTACTATATGGTTCCTAGTAGTTACACAAATGCAGAGAACAATAGCATGTGTCATTTGTCGAGACGAAGATACGATACAGTGAGAGTTCAAAAAGTCATGAAATGAAGCTTGCTGACTTCAGGGTAGTAGATACCTCTGGGATGGGGACAATGTATCTATACTGGCAGTTTTTGATATAGAAGAGAAAACAAAGCAAATATTGGCATCGGAGTATACGACAGGTTGGTACGTGAGTATCTGTTAATAGTTTTGGTGCTTGACTGTATATTATAAATGCCATCATTAAATACTTCAGACTTTAAGAAGTGTCTTTGGACATGAGAACACAACAAACAGGTTTTAGTTTGTTTATATTTTTATATGTTATTCAGGGTATGTAAATGCATCAGACATCATAAAGTTAATTTAAAAATGTCACAATGCGACTATGCTATGTGTGTTTCTAATTATAACATTCTATCGAAACTGTTTTCCATAAACAGCTTGAGGTGCCTCATTTCAGTGGCTATTTTTCCCCTAAGGTATAGTTGTAGTTACTGAAAAGGCCACTGGGGGCAGTATAGGTGGGAGAACTAGATACTAGACAGAGGAGTCTCAGGAACTCTGACCTGGAGACAGGACAGCCACAGGCTATAAGGCTGCCAAGGAGGGCCTCCTCGTCTTCCTAGATCCTTAACAAGACAGAAATTCGGCTGGAACAGGCCCAACTATGCTTTCAGCGTCCCCAAATTTGTCTTCATCTTTGAATGGAGTTTTCTTTCGTCTTTGACTTCAGACCGGATAAAAAGGTGATGAATGATGGGTCTAGCTGGTGTGCTCCGCAGACCGTGAGACTCCTTACCCAAACTGATGTGTCGAAATCATCTCTACCATGGCATAATTATGTTCTGCCCTGACATCTGAAACTAGCAGGGCGCCTAATAGCCTAATGATAGCTTCCTAGCCACTGTGTTATGACGGATAAGATCCCCCGGTGGAACAACTTTTGTTATCACAGCAGTGAGACACAGGACAGCCCACAGAGGTAGTGAGACAGGCTGTGCTGTCTTGACGGCTGACCTCCACAGCCCTGCGTGCTCACTCTGTCCCTGAATACCACCCCACCCAGCCTAGAATGAGACAGTCAGCAGTTATCTGTCTCATCAACCAGTGCCAGGGAGGGACTTTATGTCTGGCCATGCTCATAAATGTAGGGTGGAATCCTTCCTTCTCTAGCAGGGAGATGAGAAGATGACCAAGATATTAATGGGTTCACAGGTATCTTTTTAAAATGCTATTTCTTTATTGAGAAAGAGAGAGGGAATGTGTTTTATGTTCCTGATGAATGTGTTCACACCTGGGTGTGGAGGACAGAGCAAGATGTTGGCTATCAAATGTCTTCCTCTCTTACTCCCCACAGACTGCCTTGAGACAGGGTTTCTCATGGACTGGAAGCTCACTGGTTTAAGTAGCCCGGCAGCACATTACATCATTGAAGCAAGTCAGAGCAAGAACGCAGATACAGAACTAAAGCAGAGACCAGGGAAGAATGCTTACTACCTTGCTTAGCTTGCTTTCCTATACAACCCAGGATTAACTACCTGCCTAAGAATGGCACTGCCCACAGTGGACTCCCCCCTATATTAACCATTAATCAAGTAAATCCCCCACAGACTTGCCTTCAGGCCAATCTTATGGCAGCAACTCCTAAGTAGGGGTTCCTCTCATCAAGTGTCAAGTTAACAAAAACTAACAAGCACACTTGTAATGAAGGACAAAAATACCTAACCATGTGATAAAGACTTAAAAAGCCACAGCTCAATTATAGCTAGCCAACATACAGTGAAACGACACTACTGTGATGTCACCACTTTTAATAGGTATTCCAACACAGTGACACTAATGACTATCATACCACAGTCTACACATTGTAGAAGATCACCAATTTTTTTAAAAAAATTTCAAATACAAAATTAATTGTTTACAATATTCTCAATGTTTCTAGTGTTTGGAATTCTTGTGAAATTCTTTTAATGTCTTTAGTGGCTTTGGACTATCACAATTATAGTTTAAGCCTAGATGTCCATCTTTGTGTGTTTAGCTAAGTCCCACACCATTGATAAGTGTGGGGTGATCCTTTATTCATCCCCAACTGGTGGTCAAAATGAAACCTAGAAAAAACGATTCATCTCTTCAGTGTTGCAAAGTTAGATGGACGCATTCATGACCCCAACAGATTTCTGATTCTTAAATCCAGTTTCTTCTTCCTGTATTTCCTGAAACACAAAATTCTTTTAAAGTCTCTTGAAGTTAACCTCTTTACACATCACTTCTTCGTAAGTGAGTGAGTATTTTCTGGAAGGCAGCACAGGGTGAGAGGATCCAGGCAGATTCCAACTGGCTCACTGAGTTGAAGAGATGGAGCCTGGACTCCAGGGAAAAGCTTGTGTGTTTTGTTATACATTAGAGTGGGAGTGGCCAACTGATGATTGGCACAGCTGGAGACCTATACCCTGAGAGGGAGCTCTCCCCTGAGGGTCAGAACCCAAAAGGGATACCCCAAAGACCTAGGATAGAACCAAACGTGAATGGGGGGAAAAGTCAATGAATCCTAATGATATTCTACTACACTCATAGATTGGTGCCTAGCCCAATCGTCATCAGAGGCTTCGCCCAGCAACTGACGGAAACAGATGCAGAGACCCACAGCCAAACATTAGGTGGAGCTCAGGGAATCATGTAGAAGAGGGGAAGAGGACCCAGTGGTGTCAAGGGCACCACAAGAAAGCCCACAGAACCAACTAACCTGGGCTCATGGGGGCTCACAGAGACTGAACTGACAACCAGGAAGCCTGCATGTGACTGACCGACCGATCCCTCTGCATGTATGTTACAATTGTGTACCTTGAGACTCCTAGAAGTGAGAGCAGGGGATGTCTCTGACTCTGTTGCCTGCTTTTGGGACCCTTTCTTTCTACCGGATTAACTCATCCAACCAAGGTGGAGGAGGGCATGCCTGTTCTCACTGCCGCTTGATGTACCATGGCTGGCTGCTATCCATGGGACGCCCACCTATATCTGAAGAGAGATGGTGGAAGAGGAGTGGATGGAATGGGGTGGGGGGAACTGGAGATGGGGAGAGCTTTGGTTAGGGTGTAAAAACAAGAAAATAAATAAGAAAGAAAAGAGCAGAGCCTTCTGTCAGTATCACAGCTGAGAAGAAGCCTTAGAGCAGGTAGCTCTCCTTGACCACTTTTCTAAGCCAATGGTCCAAGAGAGCCGGGTCTCACAGCAGTTGGAATAAGGATGAAGTTTTCTTTTGTGTTATACTGGTGTATAACCTCGAATCAGTTATGCCTGTCTCAGAGACTAATCTGGTGAGGGGGGAGGGATATGCCATCCCTCTGGAAATATGTGTGTAACCTGCAATCGTAACTCTTAAGAAGCTGAACCCTTTACATATTAGCATTTCAGGTTAAGAATATGAGTTTTGGAAAAACATTTGAAATTCACCCATGCGAAAGAAAGAATTTGTCAAATCACACTAAGAACCATATTTGGAGTTGCCTCTCTAAGCAAGGGTCAATTTAGTGCAAAGACAAACTTCCTGCCCTGAGGCATGTTCCCTGGGCAGAAAGAGGCTCTGGTGAGGTGGAGGAAAAAGTGAGACCCATTGATTGATTGATACTCAAGAGGAGACAGTGCTAAGCCAAGAGAGCTGGTTGTGTGAGGGCTTCATTCCTGCGTGGGCTTTAATTTCACTTCCTGCTAGAGCTCTGCATGAGTGGCCATACGATGGGTCCCAGGCTAAGAAAGGGCAGGCCAGCTTGGTCCAGAGGGCGGTGTTGCCCAATTGAGGATGTAGAAGGCAGTGCTGGGTCTCCTGTTTCCTGTTTGATGGAAATTCTAAGGAGAAGCAGATGCCACCCTACGGGCCACTAGATTGAGAGCAAGATAGCTTTGTGATCAAAATCAGGGAAGAACAGCTGGATGGACATGTCAGTCCTGCAAAGCCAACAGGCAAAACCATAGGAGACTTCCTAAACTGAGGGAGAATTCAACAGCAAGCGGTATAGGTCAGATTCTCCTAGGCCAAGGCCATGTGGAATCAGCAACTCTAGACACCAACCTGAAGAATGGCAAAAGAGCATAAAAAAAAGAACAATCCTCCCCAAAGACCAAGGATCACACACAGAGGTAGTTTAAATTTCCTGCCTTAGCGACAGTTTAATGGTGTCATGCCTTCAGGCGTCCCCTTCCATGCATTCCAACTCCCAACTGCTGACAAGGGAAGTCTTCCTGCGAAGGGCCAGGTCCAAGACAGTATCATCTCTGCACATCTAGATTACTCCATGACTCAATGAAGACCCATCATTCAATGTTTCCTAAGAAATACCATCCATTCAACATCTGTTAGAGAAAGTTTCCAGTGTCCCAACACAGACTAGAGAGTGTAGATTGAATCAAGAATGAAGTGCCATGTCATTCTTGCCTTTAAGACCATCTTAGTTTGGTGGGGGAGTCACCTTGGGTGATTTCTCCAGGCTCCTTGTTTACCACTTACTTTGACAATGCTAGCTCCTACCCATCTTCCAGTTTCCAGCTACATCAGCATGGTGCCCATTCTCAACCCTGTGGTATAATGGGCTTTTGAGTCAAGTACTAATTTTATAGCTTGTCAAATAAGTTTTTGACTAATTCTGTTCTAGGCTCTAAAATCTTAGGCTAAGCACTGTGTGATTCCCTTACCTCCTTTGTCTCCTCTCCTCTCCCCTCTCCCCCTCCTCTCCTCCCCTCCCCTCTCCCATCCCTTCCTCTCCTCCCCTCTTCTCTCCCCTCCCCTCCTCTCTCCCCTCTCTTCTCAGCTCCCCTCTCCTTTCCCCTCCCCTCCCCGCCCCTCCTCTTCTCTCCCCTCCCCTCCCCTTCTCTCCTCTTCCCCCTTTTGTCCTTCTGCCCCTTCCCTTCCCTTCTTCTCTCATTCTCTCTCCCTCTCCTCTCTCTCTCTCCTCTCTTTTTCTCCTCTCTCTCTCTCCCTCTCCTTGAATTCAGGGCCACACTATCTTTTACCTTCTGTACCTGACCCAGAAGATCTTGTTCTGTAAATTCCTGTCCAGTGAATGCAAACGCATCTTTCACAGCATCGAGGACCGCCCCCCACAGCACATGCTGCGAAGTTCTGAAAGCCTTGCCATGTACATTATCTCACTGACAAGCAGAAGAGGCCGAGAGGGAGAGAGATTCCATCCTCAGAACGGGGCCCAGCTGCTTTAAATAGAATCTGCTGTCAGAGGACAATCGCTGAGCCAGCTTTGGGGGACCGGTTCCAGTGCAGGATGTGAGCAACGGGGCCTTGTATGATGTTTCCTGTGAACCATGCCCACACAGATTTTAATACATCTAACACACACATTATGCATGTTAACGTATAATACATATATAACAATTTATCAATTTATATGTGCTTCACAAAACAAGAGTTAAGGAGGAAACTGTTTGCAAAAGTACCAGTGAGGTCATAATGTGGGAAGTTTGTAGGACAGCGAACGTCAGGAAATAAGAAGTAGCTAAGATAAGCTAATTGAGGGTGGGGAGTAACGTTCAGCAGTAAAGTAGATAAAATAATGGCTTTGAGAAAACAGGGAAGAAATTTTCAAAGAAAAAATGCCAAGAAAAAGGGCAAACTCCAGAACACCAATCATTTGGGGTGCTGAGAGAGAGAGGGCTGGGCAGTGCCTTCCACATGCCATTGTTCTGAACTGCTTGGTTTGTGGATGTATTTAGGTTCCTGGTGAAAACACAAAACAGCATTGTCTGGCCTTATTTCATCTTGACACTTGTCATTATCATTAAGGAGGCAGGAATGTGGAAACCACTTAGGGAAGTAAAGAGATTTTAAAGTGAAGAATTAGGTCAGGAGTCCCTCCCCCAGCCTTTTCAGGTCTCTGAAAACTAGTCTTCCACAATATTAACTCTTTATTTACTCCTTTGCAGGGACTCTGCAGGGCTTGAGAACAGGGGAGGAGGGGAAGGAGGGAGGAGGGAGTTGGGGGTGGCTACAGGTTTCCTGACTGTGGTCATTCACTCTCTTACTGGGCTTCTCACTTCCTGTACTCACTTCCCACAATTCCACTCTCCCCATTCTTACCTCTCCTTCCACCCGAATCTCTCTCACTCACGCCAAAGTTATATGCTTTGGAATCCTTTATCATATCAGTATTTTCTGTGTACGATAGAATCTGTGTGTGGATGGGGCTACTGTGTGTATAATAGATTGTAGATATTCAAAGGTTTGGACTCTCCTCTATATAGATTTATCATGTTCATGTCTGACTCTCCAAGATGGTCTTCACTGCTTTGTATAATACAGCAGGCTGTCAATACTTTTTATATAAACTGTTAAGACCAGATTATCTTAAGCTACTTAGTGGCATATGTCTTATGTTTTTCCTTCCCTTTCAAACATGTCATAGGAATAAAAATACTGCATTGCTCCATCCGGTAAAAGCTTCCAAGGATTTTATAGAAATTCAAAATGTGTACTGTATCCAATTTATGAGCTCATCAACTTAGCATGCATGGAGGAGACGGAGAAAGGGAACAAGCTGGAATAGGATGTGGTTTTCCCTGTCTGATCTCTAGAGAACTTTCCAAAATTCAGTATATATATAATATATGAAAATACATAAGCATGTTAAAGCACTTTCAAATAGGGTGTGAGTTTATTACATTATTTATGGGTACAGTGCATGTGTAGGGCAGAGGACAACTTGTGGGAGTTGGGTCTTTTCTTCTACTATGTAGGTCTCGGGAATGGAACTTAGATTAGCAGGATTGGAATATTGTTATTTGAAGAGTGGAGGAATGGCTTCCAGTTTATTCATGTGACTATGGGCAGGACACAGTTCCTCACTAGCTATTGGCCAAATGCCCAAGTTCCTTGTCACATGTCTAGACATGGCTTCTAACTTCCCTAAGTGAGTGACGGAAGAAAAGAATGGAGGTTGAGACAGAAGTCACAGTCTTTCATGTCTGAATCTCTGAAGTGACCAGTGTCACTTCTCCAGTGTCACAGGAGCAATTTGAGACAAGACTTCACTAGAGTGGGGGCGTCAAGAGGTCATGAGAGCCATAGGGACATGGATACCACATCTGCATTCACAATACCCCAAGTTTCAGGAGAATTTAATGAAAATAAAAATACAATTTCTCCTCCAGGTTCCTGAACCTTAAATTTGGTCACAAACTCCAACTTAATAGTGATGGATAGGAGAACATTCAGGACCTCAGACCATTTCTAACCTATCTCCATTGTGTAATTTTTCAGCTTTACCAAATTCTAAATGATAAATGTGCACATTTATGGTATACATATACATGAATATTTGATATATCCTTTCATTATGAAATGACCTCTATAAGCAAGCTGGTTAGCACATCCTCATTAGATGCCCCGAACTTGTTCATTTTCAAACTTTACAACCTTTGACTAACATCTCATTTCCTTCTCTCCCAGTCTCTGGAACCTCCCTTGTACTGCCCATGACTTTGGCTATTTCTGATTTTACATATGAATGAGATCATGCAGCACTTGTCAAGTTTTCTGTGTCTGTCTCCTCTCGCTCAGCACAGCTGAACTCACCCCGATAATCTAGGATTGTCTCTCACCTTAAGACCTCAAGCCTCCTGGTGAGGTTGTGTCCCAGGAGTTTTTTTTTTCACAGCAAGCATGTCCCTCTGCTGAAAAGGGAGGGCCCATTTGCTGTGCTTCACTCTGAAGCAGAGGTCAGAAAGGTCTACTCTCTATTGTAAAGAATTAGACTTCCCCAAGTTTGGGGTTCCTCTCCTTTAGTAACTTCCCATGCAGGCACATGTCACCCAGGCCTCTTTAGGTCATTCTGTGGTACTGATGCTCAGAAAACTTCTATAGATGCTGATGCTCTGACTTTTGCTGTTGCCATTTGAGCCACACAATCCTTTTGTCTCTTACCCATGAGTCTTAAGTCTCCTGCTGTTGTGCTCAAATTCTGAACCCCCCCCCCACAAGTCATCAAGAGACTCATTCTGATGCAAAAGCAAACAATCTTCTATTGTTTAATGAGCTTACCCCATTAACTAGGGCCCTTCGTCCATGCAACACAGCCACTGGCATGAGAAGGACCCAGAGAAACTGAGAGGCAGGAAACTTACCGGGCAGTGTAAGAGAATTATGCAACAGTCTTAGGATTGGTGCACTTTTGGGTTCAGGCACCCGTCCTGTGCTGATTGGTCAACTGGTTGCTATGGCCTGTAGGCCCTCCCAGGGCTGTTGCTATGCTTTACATGGCACTGTTAGACCACCTTTACTGTAATGTACCCTTTACTGTAATGCATGCCCAGATCTGTAAAGCACATCCAGAGTCCTGCTAGCTAACTTCTGATTGGTTCGTTGCCAAAAGGAGGATATCTGACCTCCTAGTGACTAGGGCAGGCCCAGCAAGGTCAGACACGAGCTGAGTCAGAGGCCTACATGTCTTCTGCAGCCTATCATGGCTGCTAAAGCAGGCAGCTGGGTGAGGGCCTGGTTCCTTCACTGCCAGTACACACACAATGGAGCAGCCTAACCTGTTGACCCTCTTTCACCCTCAGAGACACATCTCCATTTTGGACATCCATGAAGCAAGCAGGGGACACCACAAATATTCTATCTTTATAGAATAACAGTAAGTTTGGAGAAAATAGCATGCCAATGGTACAAATGCAGAACTCATTTGAAATGCCAGCAAAAATCATTGGTGAAAACAGTAAAGAAACATGAAAATCTGAGAATGCATCTAGAAGATCTCAAATCTAAATAAAGAGAGCTGCAGAAATAGAACAGAAAAAAGGAAAAGATATTAACAAACAGAATAAGAAGATTTGAAGGCTGAGTGGTGGTGCACACCTTTAATCCCAGCACTCGGGAGGCAGAGGCAGGCGGATCTCTGTGAGTTTGAGACCAGCCTGGTCTACAAGAGCTAGTTCCAAGACAGCATCCAAAGCCACAGAGAAACCCTGCCTTAGAAAAAAAAAAGAAAAAAGATTTGAAAGACAAAACTTCATATTGAAAGGTCCACTGGGTAAAGTCTGGTGGACAAACATGGCAAAAGATAGCAGAGTATATTTTAAAGCATTGGGAAAAGAGGAAAATGAGTCTCACCCACAGCTTTCAGAGAGAGTAACAAACAGCTCCTGTGTAAAGGCTTGATTATGGTAGCTTCAGATCCCCAAACATCTCCAAGGGATCCTGAAGGACAACAGCTAATAGCCTTTGAAGTTGTGGGAAATATCTTATACAGAAAAACTGTAGCTAGAATAAAAACACTTTCAAGTAGTCGAGGTCTGTTGTAGAATAATCTTTTTGTACACAGTGTCACTCTGATTGGTTTAATAAAAAGCTGAATGGCCGATAGCTGGCTAGGACTTTTCAGACACACTGGACACTGGGAAGAAAAAGGGAGTTGCCAGCTAGATGGAGAGAAAGCAGCATGAGGAAAAGTAATAAAGCCACGAGACAAAAAGTAGGTTGATAAAAATGGGTTAATTTAAGTTGTAAGAGCTAGTTGTGACAAGCCTAAACTATTGGCTGAGCTTTTATAATTAATAATAAGTCTCTGTATCATTATTAGGGAGACAACAGTCCCGATGATAACGTCTGACTACAAAGGTCAGAAAGAGAGGACTAAGGGAATATTTGGAATTATGATGAAGATAGAGCCTCAAGATGTCATTTATATACAGGGATAACAAACACGCAGTCTGAAGTTGAAGGTCAAAACACTTGATTTGGGCAAGACATCTTAGATTGCTATTGTCAGAAAGGTGCATACATTGACAATGTTAGCAGAACATTGAAACACTGGAGGCATATTTAGCTTGTGAGGGAGTCTCCGTCACTTCTGATTACATCTATTCCCAGATCTTCTCTAAGCAAGTAATAAAACAAGATGATTATTTTCAGTAAAGCAATGACAAAAATGTACAAGGCAGGAGATGCAAGCTCTGTGATGCTGTTCCGTGGTGCATGTATCCACAGGATCATAGTCATGTAAATACTTGACCATTGATGTAGTCTACATTATGGGACAGTTACATGGAGATAATAAGGAGGTGGGAAGCTTGTGTGTAGGAGGGTAGTGCTGCGAAAATAAGTGAAACCTTAGTGCTTTGGGTTTGGGTGACTAGGAAGAA